AAGTAGATATTGATTTTCACTTTGGATAATATTTTCATTGGCAGCAATGGTGTGAAGGTTCGTGGTTACTTCGCGTGGGCAGCATTGCTTTTCTCAGAATTGGGGACTTATTTATGTTGATTTTAAACACTATCTCAAGCGTCAGCATATGGTACATGACATTCTTGAAACAAAAGAAAGAGAACGAGAAGAAGGATTCAATTTCAAATTAATTTGAATTTTATAATATTTGTAAAATCCTTTTTTTCCCTCTTTTATTAGTGATGACAACGAGTAAGATACTTGCTAGGCAAAATTTACTAACGATAAGTAAAGTATTTACTCACTACATGAGTATGGATATCTAAGTACTGACATATCCCATATCTACATATTTTATATATATATATATATATATATATATATATATATTACAATATATAACATTTGTGATTCATTGATTTTTTATTATTTAAACATCTTTGTAATGTATTTTTTTTTTATTTAACATAAACAAATGTTAACCATTAAGTCATCTTTAATAAAGTTATATATATTTTTTTCTTTTATCTAGTTTTTCTTTTGTTTAGAATGTAAATAATTTTTTGTTTATACAACACTATTAAAATACTTTATTAATATTGTAAGTTTCTATATATTTTATACTCTCAACATAATTTTTTAATATAAACATTACTTAGGTGAATATAAAGAAAGATAGCAAGTAAATACTAGTATTTAATTTTAAAATATAATACTAACATGGGTTACGAATAAGGAGAATCTTCTTGTAAAATATATCACAATAACTAAAAATATTATTTTACCTTCTTTTAAATATTAATTTTTATTTTAATTTATGTTATTTTATAACAAATAATTAACCCTTCTCATGGTTGTCAAAGAAAAAATCATAGAATGAGTAACTAAAAATTCAAAAAAATAAGAATTAAACCCACTTTTAGTTTTTTTAAAAAAAATTATGGATACTTTTGTAAAATTTTGGTTAAAATAAAGATTCTATTGTTTATTTTATGTAATTTCATATCTTACATTTTTTACTCAATTTTTTTATAGGCCATAATAATTTTATTATTTTGAATGAATAAATTTTCTATTTTGAGTAATATTGTCTTTTAATTTATAATTTTTTATTTTTAAAATTTTTTATATAAAATAAAAGATTAAGAAATTTAATATAAATATTTATGTTACTGAAAATAAAAAAAAACTATAAAAATATACAAATATATTTAATAGAAAATAGATATTTACATCACATGTAAATAGTTATTTTATAAGATTAACATAAAAATATATTTAATAATAAAGTAAATCATAAAAATTAATTTTTTATATTTTTAATAAAAAAATTATTTACTATTTTATATTATATAACTAGGTTAATACAATTTAATTATTACATAATTAATACAATTTAATTATTCATTTGTCCATAATTTCATGTTGATATTTCTTCTTAATTTTTACTTGGTTTTTTTAAAGGTGGTTAACGCATGGGATGTATAAGAAATCAAAAAGAAAGATGTTATGTGTTATGTATACAAATTTGATCATCTAAACACAATCAAGTAATACATTTTTCTCACATTATTATTTTAATTTAGAGCATTGATATTTTGGGATCACATGATGCACCTCTCTATTATGTGTACTTTTTGTTGGTCTTCAAATTTGCAGATTTAACACATGGTCGCTAGATAATGGGTGCTTGCGACACACGATGAAAAGGAGGTTTACGTTAGATGTAAGACCATGCGAAGGAGAAATGTCACCTTTGGAAAAAAGAAGAAGAAGGAAACAGTGAAGAATTTAATTGTTGGGATAGGTAAGGTCAGGAAAGATAAGTCAATTTTGAAATGATAGGCATATTGTTTTATTTTACAAAAAAATAGTATACTAAGAAAACAGAATGAATCTATAATTTTTATTGCACATAGATATTATAACCTATACAAAATAGATCTAAAAGGGTTAAATAAACAAAACATAACATGCTTATTTTTTAAAATAAAAAATAAGTAAATCTAGAACAAAAAGCTTGTTCACATTAGTTTAAGAAACATTTGAAGTGTGAAATATATTGTTCTGTTCAAAATAGACATACCAAGATCACTTCTAATGGGAATTATACATATTCCTCTTTCATCGTGTATCTATTTACAAAATATTTTTAATACATTAAAAGACTCAATCTTATATATTAGGGATTAAACTTATATGAATCTAATATAGTCTCATCCTCAAAGACTAATGCATACTTTTTACCTCCTATACTTAATGTTCTAGTTGGGCTAAATATATCCCTGATTCATACTTTTTCCTTCCATACTTAATATTCTACTCAGATCAATAAATTCATATGCAACTATCAAGTGGTCTAGAGGTAGAAACAATATTTTTAGATTTCAAAGGAACTTTCTTTTTTTTCTTATTTGGCAAGCTTCACATAACATACCACTTTTAAAATATATTTTTATGCAGTTTGTGCACAAAATTCTTCTTATAGAGGTTTGAAATTTGTTTTAAACTAACATGTCCAAGCTTCTTATGTCAAATCCATTTTTTTTTTATCTTTAAAATAAAAAACAAATATAGCAAAAATAAAATAAAATAAAATAAAAAAACAAACATGTAATAGTCTACTTATTTAACTCATCTAGATATATTTTGTAAAGATTATGATGTGTATAAATATTAAACAATATGGATTCATCAGGTTTCTTAATTATACATTTTTCTTTGTCAAACAAATTAAACATTATATTCATTGTCACAAAAATGACTTATGTTAATTAAGTTTTAATCATTTGGCATACTTTATATTATGAATAGTTGGTAAAGGGTATTTACCAACCTTACATATACTAGTAATAAGATCCTCATATGGTCTTAGTTTTAAAAACATAGACCTTCTGCTCATCATGTGTCTTGAGCACCAATTGTCTATATACCATTTATTTTCCCTTTTTCTTGATACTTGCAATTATAATAATATAAGATTTATTTTCCCATTTATCTTTTGGGTCCTTTGGGATTAATATTAAAGAATTTCACTAATACTTTTTTTTTATGATGATACATAAATGTGATATGTCCAAGTTTTACGAAAAAGAACAAGATAATTTGATGTTGTTGAGTGAGTTTTTGGAATGAGTGGAAATCTTTTCTTGTGAGATATATTCTAGTTTTGATTTGTCTAAGTAATCTCTTAACTTTTTCAAAATAACATTTGATTTAAAGTTCCTCCAATAAATTTTGTAAAGACTAGAGTAAGATTACTTATTTTGTTTTGAAGTTCGTAGATTTCTCTAGAGTGATTTGACTTACATAATACTTTTATGTTTTACTTAATGAGTTTCCAAATCTCTCTTTTTTTTTTTTTTTTCTAACTTATCAGATAACTTATTATTTTTCGTTACAGTCTGAATAACTTTATCAGATAAATAAAAGTCCTCATCTAGAAGAATTTTGTAAGGTTCAAAATGTTGAGATGGATATACATTTTCTTTAGTTTCGTATAGTTCATCTAATTTTGATTCTTGATTGGGATATTCCTTATTGTTAGCTATATATAGCTAAGTGAGCTCTTTATGTGTTCTTTAGCGTTTGAATTGCTTCTATTTAGATCCTTACATGTAGGCAATACAATAATCTTTTTCTTAAGTCTTTTCTTTGTCGCATTCAAAATAGATTATGATGAAGATTCTTTGATTTTACCTCTTTTTTCAACTCTTTTGTTGATTGTTATTTTTCTGTCTTTCGTTCTCATATGTGTGAAGAAGTTTGTTACAGCCAAAGTGTACTTGCCTTGTATTTTAGTTAGTTATTTGAATCTAAACATTTGTACTAAATGTTAATTTATCATTTCTTCATGCATTTAATGCTTTTTGTAAGTCTTTTGTGTGAAAAGATTTATTTATTTTTGCATGATCAATTAGGTTATTTTGGGATAGTTTTCTAAAGTTTCATGTTAAAAAATATCCAAAGTTTTATTTGTTTAAATGTTACTATGTTTGTACTCATTTATGCTTTATGTTAAAAAAATATCCACAACTTGATTACTACCTTTATGCTTTTTGGTTAGAGGCACATCTAATTATAATGTTATACCTTAGGCTTTCTAGATTTACAACATTTTAAGTGATTTCCCTATTTGCATTTATTGGGTTTTAATTAATGTAATCAAGTTGTCATATATTCTAACAAATGAATATTGTTAGAAATGTTAGGCATGAAAATGTAGTTGATCTATTTATCTTCTTCATATTTTGCTAAGTTGGTCTTATTCTCTATGATTTCATATTTTCAGTGCCTTTTAGTGATTAATGAATTTTGTTTGTGGAGATTTGTGTGCTAGACTGCCAAAGTCAACCAACACAAAGCAAAGTAATATTTTGCAGGCAAAATGGTATTTTATTACTTTGTTCTTTGTTGGCACATTTTAAATCTTAATTTTTGTTTACATGTCTCAACGTGCTTTTGAGAGCAGTGTCTGTGTACCTGAGGACATGCACACTGGTATGTGTGATGGAGAGAGACACAAAAAGCATGTAAAAACAGACCGTAGTAAAAGAAATTCACCAGCTAAATTACAGTTACAGGCCATAGTAAAAGAAATTGATCAGCAAAATATAGCTTTAGTTGTAAAAACAGACTAGGTCAAAATTTTGATGAGACCTAAAATTTTGTTCTCTTAGCCCAAATCAATCAAAATCAACCAGACATTCACATATATAATCGATTAAAAAAAATTGGCCCAAATCCAAAGCCCAGCCCTAATTTGGTACACTAAACGGTGGAGCGTTTGAGAGATGGGTATGGCTATATATATATGGGAAGTGATAAGTAAAAGCAAATAACAATCTCCAAACCCTAGGAATGGTGTTCGCTTGCAGAAACGACGCACAAGCAAGTAGTTTTGTGTCTATTCCCTCTTTTCTGTTTGTATATTGTCTGTGAATTTTCTCTGTTTAATTGAAACGATGAAAGACAGAGAGTGCTATGATGTTGAGATCAAATAATCTCGTTAATCTGATCTACTTCTTTCATGAGGATAACTATTCTTATCCATTCACTATTCTTTCTGAGCACACTCTCTCTTTATATATTTTTTTAATTATTTGTCGTTTTTAATTATTGTTGATTAACCCTTCTCTCGCCACGGCATTATTTTAGAGTATTTGTCAATTTTCATCATCAAATTGTTGACTTTTGTTTGTGAGGAAATAAAAAAAATGAGAGAAAATTTTTAGATGCCATGGCGACAAATCTTGGGTAAAAAGATTTGAGTTTCTAAACTATCTTAATTTATTCATTAGGTTACCCGACACAGAACTATCTTCTTTGTATATTCATTAGGTTGCTTGACTCAGATGGATCTGGTTCTGAAAAGCTTTATTGAAAAAACAAAAAGATCTTGAAGTTTTTACTTTCTGTTTTTTTCTTCTAATTGCGATTTGTTTTCTTGTTGAAGAATTTTCTTTTTAATAATTTTTTCATTTGGTGTGGGAAATAAACTTTGAAATTACTGCTTTTGGTATTCATTTTTACTTCCTAGTAGCCATCTTTTTGCTAAGATCTGTAAAATTGATAATGGTGAAGTGTCTGAAAAACGTATTTTAACCCTTCTCTATTGAATGTATAGTAGTTTTAAAAACAAATTAAAAAAAGCCCAGGAAAAACTTAGTTATAAACAAATGATTATCAATTGAACAAAATACAAATTTTCAAATTAATATTGACGATTGTATAGGTTTTGTTTATAATACCAACATGTTTTGGCCATGTGATTTGTTAAGAGTTGAGACTCTGGACCCTTTGCCTCGACTAATACTCGGTTGGGAACAGGCAAATGTTTTAGCTAAATAAATTATATTAATAAAATTTATATTATATAACCAATTTTGATTTAATAATGCATGTTGAAATGTTATAATTTATTGTTAATTTTTAAATTAATGTTTTATTATGTTATAAAATGAGATGAATTAAATCTAAATACGATGAGTTCGTAACAAAAATGCTCTGTTTAAAGTGGTGTGACGTGTAATGTGATAATTGTGCTACTTTTAGCAGTTATTTTAGTATTTTTAGGAGTCTATTTTTTGTTTGTCATATTTAGGTCTAACTCAAAAAAAGAGGTATTTATAAATAAATCTCTTTATTAAAAATGTGATATCAAATTTGGGCATTAACCATTGTTTCACAATTTGGATCCAACTAGCGACTTCAGTTTAAACCAAAAATCGATTAAGTTACTAATTTAAGACCGCCTATTAATAAAAAAGATTCACTAAAATTTAGTAGAATGAAAAAATTTAATTGATCAAAATCATAATATGAATACATGTTAATAAATCAAATTGACAAGAATTGTGAAATAAAAATAAATCATTAAATTTTATTTAATCAGTTAAAATTTTAAAATATATATATTATTTAAACATTCGTTATAATTTTTTTGTATTGTAAAATATGATCTAATTAATTTGTTATTAAATATATTATAAATATTTATTTAATTAAAACCGATTCATTCTGAAACATGCTCTAACTATTCAACCAAATCAGAAATTTTACCGATTTAAGCACCGGTTCTGTATTTAAACATTAAAGGCCATTTTAAACATCAAATCGAGACACGTTGATACATGAAAGTGAATAAGACGAGATTTACAGAAATGAAGTTCATATGTACATCATGAGCATCGCAGAAAATAACCAATGATCTCATAAATCCACATCTTAATACCTAATGATCGTGTACTGTTCAGTACCTTGTTCATAACCTATCAAGAACGGAAAAAGGCTGAAAAATAAACGAAGCAATAATAAAACATTATCATATAAGAGTCTCGAGCCAAGAGAAACATGACACGCAGAATAAAGGGCTCATAAAAATATGTAGGCAGTAGCAGAATTTTGTTGACACCAAACAGCCCTTTATCATGAACAGCGTTGACATGGGAATTGAATTACGAAACATGCCTTCAGATTTTTCACCCGGATGGAGGAACATCACCCCTCATTACCCTCCATGGACCCCCATAAAACTTTGGTTTCATGAGAGGCACAGCTTTCCCAGGATGCTCTTCCCAGTACTTTTCCTGCCATATTGCGATACATGTTAGCTTTTGAAAGATAGATCCTCCTATTAAATTCAAAGCTAACAGCAAATATTTCCACGATGCACCAACATGCAGCAGCACATATGGAAAAAATATCACACCGAAATGATCAAGTGTTTTTCATCAGAAATCATCATTCATTATTGCACTATACTAATCAGCAACCCTTAAGTGATTCAAGGAGGGAACATCTTGTTAATTGGCAGTTATGTTGCAAGCCCGTATGAAGCAAGGGGATTTGGGCCTAGGGATTGGAATTTCAAGAATATTCTTTTGTGGTTATTATGGTTGTGGCATTTTAATTTCAAACTTGACTTTCCTTGGCACATGGGCATGAAGAGGAAGTGCTGACCTCATCGAAACAGGTGGATACCAAGCTTGGGGTGAATACTACTCATCCAGGTTTCCCAAAATGTATGATCCCACCAAATCAATAGACAATTAATAAAACTAAGCTTAGCTATAATTTATTCTGCAAGTAAAATTAGTATTCTATGTTCAGGGCGTTACAGAATATTGTTTCAGCAGGTATTATACACAGTTAAAAAAAAATGCGAACAAACTACCAGAAGCAGCAAGCATAAAGTAATGTTCTCACATTATATATCAATGGAATCAAACAGAGTATTAGAACCTAGATTAAATCATGAACCAAAGAATAAAGTAACGTTCTCTGCGTATGTGATTATAGCCGTTTAGTTTGTCTTACAGACCAATTCATAGTTGGCCAGCAAAATGGGCATATGTTATAACTGGTACAGCAAGGAAAAAAAAAATTGACTTTGATTATTGAGAATGAACAAGAACACAGTCCTGTACGTAGTGTAGGTGCATATGTTATCATACAATGCCAGAAATATTCAAGAGATCCTGGCTACTGTCATACACAAGCTTTTCCACTCGCAGACACCTCAATTCTCCCAACTTTGACCTTTATAACAATCTTCCCTTGTAACCAAGGTTGTTAAACTCAAGAGTTTACATAAACTTGTATAGTGTCTGTAAACTTGAATTACGAGTTTACCTTATGTAAAAATAATATTTAAAAACTCATAATGAAATAAAGTCCAATCATACTTAAGTAGCCAAATCATATAATGATAATGTGATTTTGGTGCCATAATTATAAATGTGATGTTTCACAATTTGCAGAGGGAAGAAAAGTGTTGTCATTCCAAATGGTGTTATTTTGGTGAAAAAAATCATACTGAAATATCCAAATCATATAATGATAATGTGATTTTGGTGCCATAATTATAAATGTGATGTTTCACAACTTGTGGCGAGGGAAGAAAAGTGTTGCTCTCATTCCAAATGGTGTTATTTTGGTGAAAAAAAATGTGATTTTGCATTTTTCTATTAAACTCGTAAAAATCAAGTGTAAACTCACGAGCTTACCTGAGTTTACCTGACTTCACCTGAGTTTATCGGAGTTTATCCAAAAACGAGTTTACATGCCATTTGACATGGTTTCCTTATCTAAGATTGTAAACTCTTGAGGGTTTATGAGTTATATCAAGAGTTTAACAATCATGCTTGTAGCTGCCTCCTAATAATGAGCTGATTGTTTCTCCAGGTTAGGCCCTAACATTAACAGGCCCACTCCTCCTCCTTTTCCTATAATACACTCTTTTCGTCGTGAGCTTATTGCTATCAACTAGGACCTGGAAGGTCCACACTTGGAGGCACAAAAAAATTAAGGGAGACGTGTGGCTTTGAAATTGTAATGATTGAGTTTGTTATAATCTTCTCTATTTTGCATGAGTGAATCCAAGAAGGGGTAAAGCAAACTAGTTATATAGGAGTGAAGAGGAGAGAGACAGGGTCTTCATTTTTAGCACAATTTCTGCTTTAGCTAGGGCAGAGGTTTTCCTCTGTGGAGTCTATACTCTGTCTGGGTTGAGAATTGGCCATTTTGGTGTAATTTTGCTACAGTTTTCTATTGATTAATACAACAGTATCTTGGGTTCAATTAGACTGTCTATGCTAGTAGATAATCTGCAAAAAATGCAGCAGAGAACTGCTAATGACATGGTCAACAACAGCGATTTTTATAATTAACAATGCTTGTACCCAGCTAAGGATATTAGATGCCCCAGCTATATGTCAAGAAACTGATAAAAAAAATGTCTCCTCTTTGTAACACTCTCTTTTCTAGACATATCTGTCAGATCCTGATTAATGTAAACTCAGTTATAATTGAGCAATTACATTGAAAGGGAAAATTCTTTATATGAGGATTGTTTGTGATGATGAATTAGAAGTATAATAGTTGTTTGAAATTTGGTTTGAGGCAATTTTGGCCTTAATTTGGGACTTTTCTGTAATCGTCCTAATATCTGTTGGGCAAAATCCTGCAGTTTAATAAACTAGAATATGTTAATATCTATTTAATTTATTTAATTGGTGAAAAATTTTCCAAAGATCAAAAATGGATTTATAAAATAATTTTTAAGGGGCAGCATTGTTATTTTGGTGTACTTTGATTATGAGCATGGATGTTTTGTTGTGAACATGGCTGGTGATGACAAACAGATCAATTTTTTATCTCTGAAACTTTTTTCACCAATTAAATAAATTAAACAGACACTAACATATTCTATTCTGTCAGACTATAGGATTTTGTCCGGCAAATATCAGGACAGTTGCCAAATAATATCAAATTAGGCCAGAATTGTCTCATCCAGTTTCAAATAACTACTATACACCTAATTCATCATCACAAACAACTTTCTCAGATAAAGAATTCCCCCTTTTAATGTAATTGTTCAGTTACAGCTGAGTTTACACGGATCAAGGCCTGGCAAAAAGAGAGGGTATTATGCTCTCCCTCATGCAATTTTCTCTACATCAGATCTATATCTTCATTCTCTTTTAGTAACTTTCCCTCCATTCACCTGTGTCTCTTCTAATAACAAGTATGCTAAGTTCTAGTCTTAGGTCTAAAGGTGTAAACCTGTAGGGCCTTTTAGGGCCCAACATAAACTTCTGCATGTTCATGGTACTATCACGAATAGAGAGCTAAACAAGATAAGGCAGTTCTCAACCCTTCCTTTCTTGGATTCGCAATCCCACATAAAACTAAGGCAAAATAGAAGCATTTTCTTCACAAGCATGCTACAAAACAATAAATTAGAAAAGCCCTTAAATGAACCATTTATTGCAGAAATTATAAAGAAGAAAGATAATAAAAATATCTTTTGAAAGCTGAACGACAAACATACAACAGAACAGATCACATTATAATATAAGGCTGTATCCAAAAAAACAGCAAGAACAGCAGAGACTATGAGAAGAAACAATGTTCAGCCTTGAAAAAATTTTCCGTAATTAGTTGCAAGCAGTTCGGAAAATGCCAATAAAATCATTTCTAGCACCCAAACTCTTTTATATTAAAATTCCTTTGGCATTTGAGCATATGAGAGAAAGAGACCCATCACAAGTAAAGCCCATCGAGCAGCCACCAGTGGTTCAAAATCAATATGTTCTAAACTTCCTAAGTTTATTCATTCCTTCATCCAGTGAAAACCCCAAACAGTAGTTCTCTAAGGATCACTATCATTTAAACAACCCCATCACACTGCTAATGAAAAAGCCATAGCCCTTTCTACCACTAGCACACACAAGGTTTCTACATTTTTCACCTTCCGATTCTATCACAAAACACAAGTAATAAAAACTGCTCACACAATTATTTGTTATACTACTGATATCCAATAAGTGACATGGATGAGAGAAACAAAAAATAAAATAAAACAAAACCAAAACATTAACAGATTAAAGATTAAACACAGAATTAAAACTGAGAACACAATGATGATGATGATGAAAATAATGAAAGAACCTTGTAGAGTTGTTCAGTGATGGCAGCACCAACAACTCCAGAGTAGAAAGCAGCAATATAAATAGTGACCACCGGGGTAAAGGATTTGGGCCTTCTGTAAGGCAGCACCATGTCCCAAAGAAAGGTTTTTTCCCACTTGGTGTACAAATAATCTGCATATTTTCTCCACAGGTAGCTTGCCATTTCAATCACTTTCCCTTCAATTGCCTCAATCAATATTCAAAATCCTGAAAGAGAAGAGAAAAATGAATGTGATACTGATTTCAATTGAAAAGAAGAGTACAGTGGCAAGCTTGTGCTCAAGCTGCATTGCTTCTAAGTTCTAAATTTATAATGAGTTTGTTCTCTCCCTAGGGTAAAGAAATATTGATTAAAAGACAAGAATAGATAACAGAAGGACCATAATTTCATAAATGTTCTGAACAGCATGAGAGACAAGTAAAAATGAGATTATAAATAAATGAACACACATGCACACACCTCAACAGATCTCCAATCCCTCTGACAGAAACTACTGTAAGAAGCAGTGATCATCCAAACCCACTTAAAATTACATAATTTATACTATATACATATAAATGCTTAGAAGGTTAAAAAATATTCAAAATTCATGACATATTCATAATTGACAATAGGAAGTCATAACTCATAAGCCTTAAACAAAACATTCAAAATAGGAAGGAGAGAGCTTAGACAAAATAATTAGTCTAGGTGTTTGGGAGACAGATGGAAAAAAAAAAAGCCCTCTGACTTGAGAGAACAAAACAATTAGAACAAGGAGAGCACTTAGACAAAATTTACTAAAAACAGAGAGAGGGGTTTGAAAAAAGACAAGGAAAAAGGAAGAAGAATAGCAACCAGTAGGACAGTGAGAACAAAAGGGTAAACAGGGAACTTGACCAAAAATGCAGCATCAGGGAAAAGAGCATAGGTTAACCAAAACACACCAAGTACTGACCAGAAAATACTAGCACGTGGTCGGAAAGTCGAAGAAGAGTAATGGGCTGTTGATTTGCATAGTAATAGAAGGGCAAAGACAAGAGAGAGAGAGCGCAAAAATTAGAAGAAGAACGGATTGACTTTTCTTAAGAACCCTTTTGAAACACATTTTATTGTGACATTATTAGTATTAGGCCCAAACCCCTAGTTAGACAAGTTTATGTAAGGAGGGAAAGGAACCAACGCCCAAAAGATTTAGAGAAGCTCAATTAGTTGAAGCAGTTGGAAATAACTGAGAATAAATAGGAAAAAAAAAATAAAGAGAAGGGGGCTTTTCAGTTAGCCACTTGGATTTGGGTTGGGAGAGACCAGACTCTCAAATTACTGGGAATATTTATTGTATATGTGTGGGTAATTCAGTCTCACTTAAGAATATTCAATAAAAAAAGGTCTTTTTCTTCTGTTTGTTCTTCAAGAATTGAATTAGTTTTTTACTAACATGAAAACCCCAAAATACCCCCAAACCAACATTAAAAATTTAGTGCATATTTGAGTTTTCAATCATCTTTTGCATATTTTTGCCACTATAGTAGCCTCAACACTAAAACACGATGCAATGACAGGAGAATAGTGGGCCAGCCGCTGCAACGCGCCACAATGCCGCTATAGCAGCTCTATCACATGCTATTGACAACTTAGTTTGCATAAGCCATCATGACATAAGAGCTTATTGAATAAGCACTTCTAAGTTATATTTCTCCTAAACCATTTCTATTATTCATTAGAAATGCAGAAGCAAAAAGGCTGAAAAGCAAAGTCAAGTGGACCACAACAAGGGATATATTCTTAATTCATTCAAAATTGTCAACAAGTAGATGCAATCGTCAAAGTTGATAAGTTTGTAGACACATAGGACCCCTTTAAAAACAGAATTTATAGGTTAGGACAAGCCAACTCTTTAAAAAGGGAATTCGATAGCTTTCAGAATGTGCGTGAGAATTATGGAAAGTGGAGTAGTACAGTCTAAGCAGCAGTTACAGGAACCCATACAGTAGTCTAAAAAGTTATTGCTGTGAAGAGAATATTGCAACCCCCCTCAACAGAATATAATTGAAAGATGAGGGCATTTTGCTTTACATCTAAAGCTTTATGTCAATATACAAAGCAATAAGAGATTATAAATGCATGAAGCAGAAAAAGTACAATGCAGAAATAAGATAAAAAAAAAAATCACATTCTCACATGAGAAGATACAGTCAGAGAAATACATGCAAAAGGGAAAATATCAATTTGGAAATATATTCCAACTTTTTTAGCCAATATTTACAGCCTCGAGAAGAAAAGGAAGATAATATAACCCTAATAACTTGATTCTACTATATTAAAATAAAGTTCAAGGTTCCAGTAAACTGAAGTTAAAGATTAATAAAAGAGAGTGTAGATATATGCTTTTCCTTTCTCCTATTTTTCATAAACAAACAATATCTACAAAACAGATTATATCACAAAATGCAAAATAAAAAAGAATAAGAAAAACTTAATGCTGACACCCTAAGCATAAGAAAATTTCCAACTTTATATATATACTGATTCTCTACTTGTTCTTGTACCAATTTGATAGTTAAAATCGTCTCAATGTAGTTCGTAGTTAATCATTAAATGTATCATTAAGACCTTGACTCTGCTAATTGAGCATTTATCCTTGAGATAAAATTATTATAATATTTTTAAAATATCAAATTACCCTTTATAAAGGGATCCGGATCCTCTCCCCATTATGGTGGGAACTGGACCGTCCAGTCAAGATTTGCTTAAGCAAATCCTACAAAATAAAAAAATAAAAAATAAAAAACTCACAAAATTCGCTTAAGCGAATATGTCAAGAGGGAAACAAAGGAGAAGTGGATAGGTTGAGGGACGTTATGGATAAGTTGAAAAGCAATGTAGAGAATTTGAAGAGGAAAATAAGGAGTTGTTTTCTCAAGTGAATCATTATAGAAATGATGTTGATGAAATGGTGCTTGAGAAGGATAGCATCAGAAAGGGATTTGAAGAGGAGAAAAAGAAAGTGGGCAACTTGAAAATGTGGGTTGCAGAAACTGAGGGAATGATCAAAGAATTGTAGCTGAGTTGGAGCAGATGAAAAGTGTAGGTGAGAAGCACGTTGAGAAATATCACAATGCTCAAATGTCGTGTGGATGTTTTGATGAAGGAAAAGAGTGCATTGCAGGATAGTCTTGTGGAGACACAATGAGAATCTGATGATTTGTGCACCAATATAAGCAAGGCCCTTCAGCAAATTCAGCCATATGTCGAAGAATTGTAGAGTACATCCAGAGCTCGGTCATTGCCGGAGAACAAGCCATCAGATGCATGCCTTGGACTTGGAATAACGATTAGCAATGCTTACTTGTTTGCCTGCTGTCAGATTCACTTAAGCAAATTTGCTTAAGTGAATCTCGATTGTATAGTCTAGTTCTTGTCAACGGAAGAGAATCCAAATCCCTTTATAAAGGACAACCATGTATGTTGGTCTTTGTGCGAACTGTCTACATTCTCCTACAGAGCTTCAACTAAGAACTGATGTAGTATATGTTCTAACCTAGTTCTGAATTGACTCTACAAATTTCATAAGGCCATCCTCTATTCTTTTTGTCCTTTGTGCAAATTGTAATTGATGGCCATGCCACAAAGTGACACTCCACAGTCCAGACTAAAAGACTAACAGAACATTGCAAAATGAGTAGAATACATGAGATTGCGCATAAATTTAAGAATTAATAACCTAATTCTCTCTTTTCCCAGAGAAAACAATCTAATAACGGAGAAAACCATTACAAATACACATATAACTAATATGTAATTGAACTCAAAGGGCAAGGTCACATACTAAATTGCTTCTTTCAAATCTAAAAAGTACTGGGAAAATAAGTAATATACCTGCAGTGAGTCAGTGATGGACCAAGACACGTACAACTCAACACCACAACGCTGTGTAGAAGGAGCATAAGCTGCGATTGGGAGTTAGCTTTGAGATTGTGGGAGGGAATCAAACACGGATGCACAAGTTAGAAGATGCCAACACCAAATGAGGTTCGAATTGCGTCGACAAAGAGAAGGAATGAGATGAATGGTTTGATTTGGGAAGCAGGGGTTCTTGTGATGAATATTTAGTAGAATTTATATTAGGATTCTTGTGAGATTGAGAGCGTGGCAACGAGAGAATCAGAGAAACACTGTAATGATCGTGAAAATCTGAACAAAAGAAAACGATGATCGTGACTGAGGAGATGTATAGTTAAAGTTGGACAATTTTTTTATTTTTTTTTGGTGTACTCCGTTTTGGTAACACTTTTATTTTATTTATTTTTTAATATACTGAACTCTAAAGTATTTTTAATATTATATTTAAAAATAAATTGTGTCAACACGTAATTAAATAATATACGTATTTATATTATATATATATATATATATATATATATATATATATATATATATATACACTTTAGTTCCAAAATTGTATATACATTCTAAATAAAAATAATTTCAATTCATTAAGGTTTCACAATGTAATATAATTAATGATTCTTCTATATAAGTATTTATTAATAAAGAATTAAAATATCTGAAGGTGAAAAATAATAGTAAATTTTAATAGATTTAGTTATTACTATTATTTTAATTTATTAAAAAAGTAATTCTTTTGACAGACTCTTGCTTTTATTAACATTTGAATGTTTTATATAAAAAATTTTACATGCTCATATATACGTTACATATATAAAATGTTTAAATTAAAATGTTTATAAAATAAGATTTATTGATATTAAATGTTAAATTTAAATATTTATATTATTTAATAATTTATTATAAATATTGTAACATCTTAAAATTTTACTATTTTTAAATTAATTATTAATTCATTAATTTAAATAAATTAAAATTAGATCATTTATAAAAACTTAAAAATTAAAATACACTTACAAAATTTCTCTGAAAGAAAAAACATGAATTAAAGAGAAATTGGGTAATCTAAATATACGATAAATTAATTTTAATAGGATAATTATCTAAAAATAAATAAATGATTTTAGACCATCTAAATTATGGATTACAAAAGTTATAATCAATTAGGAGAAAATAAAAATAAAAGATTGAAAATAAGTTGTAAAATTGACCAAAAAAAAAAACCAAAATACCTCTAAAATAGGTTTAGAATGATGATTCAAATTGAACAAGGAAATGATTATGAATTTTTTATGATAAATTATCAGGTCAAATGAGACTATAATCATTCAAGAATCAAGCTCAAACTTCAAATAGAAAATTCAAACCAATTTTTACAAATTTAGCATTCAAAGTGAGGTGAAAAGATTAAGCAAATGGGACAAAACTTCCAATTTTGTGATCCTATCTCACCCAACCCAATTGAAGCATTTTTTAGCATGAAAATAGGACCCAATTTGTCAATAATTAGGTAAGGGATCAGCTGAAATAAAGTAAGTCAATAAAAAAGAAGGTTTAGTTTACTAAAACTCCTTAAAAATGAAATAGAGTCAATAGTTTAATCCTTAACGAAAAAGCCTAACCAAATGCCAACCAAACACAACAAAACTCAGCCAACAAATAGTGTTATGTAAGAAGAAAAGTCTTAAATAAGTAAACAAGAACTAAAGGCAAACTAAGAGGATACACTTAGGTAAACTAGATGACATTATATAGGTCCAAAACATTCACTTTGAGCATGATTATTGGGGCTACTTTCCACCATGATAAAATCTGAATTTGGGAAAGGTTTTAACAACAAAGTTACTCCAATTAAACCTCTCTATCTCATTCCATAAAAGCCAAAAAAAAATGAAAAGCATCCCCCAAAGACAAGACTACTTTCTCATGTTAAATGGAGCAAACTTAAAGACTTAACCAAAATTCCTAAATCCAGCCAAATTAAACTCTTTTAAACATTTGACCATATCCAACACATACAAAAAATAAACTTCACTACTCAGCTATGTCACTTTCCAATCCAACAAAGTAGGAAAAAGTTCAAAAACACCAACAACCCCACCAACAAATTAAGTAAAAGAACTTTAATATTTGAGGATCTTTTTGAGCACACTCAAAGTTGACTTAGAAGGACAATAAAGAGGGCTCAAACCAGACTAAGAAAAAGAGAAAGAAGAGAATATCAACATACCCTTGCAACTCCACCTGAAAAGACAAGACAAAATCATACGTTCATAAACTGAAAAAATATTTTTGCTAATTAATTTTTAAGTCAAGAGAAACCCTTAACCCTTTATATTAAATGAAAATTTTGTGGGTTTAATTGATATATGAAAATAAAAATGATTAGAACAAGAAAATCCAAAGAAATCATTAAAAATGGTAAAAATAGAAAATTTTGTAGAAAAATTTTAACAAACTGTAAATGGATATTTTGGGAGAATTTTGCTGATGACTTTGCTTGTTATATATTATTATCATGATATTATGTGACTTTTATATGTGAATTTTGCTTGTGACTTTTTTGTCATAAATTGTCTACTATTTATGTAAATATCCTTTTTTGATGCATGATTTGAGTTATAATCTTTTGTTTGACTTTTATATGGTATAAATACACAAACCTTAATTAAAAATTTGTGATTGGACTTTGGTAGAGCATAAAAAGAAATTTTCACAAATTTTTAAGAGGATTTACGATTATGAGATGGTTATAACTATTTTGTGTTATTTTTAATTTTAAAAAATTCTAAAAATCATGAAATCTTTTCTAGAAAATCAGAACAAGTTATTTTATTATTTTGGAGATTTTGGATTTATTTTGAATTTAAATAATATTTTTAATGTATTTTTGAAGATTTTGGATAAAAAAGCTAAAGGAAAATGATCTAAAAATGGAAAATAAATAAGGAATAAATTCTAGACTCATGGACATTTTTTGAACCTTTAAAGTATGAGAAGCATATGAAGTTGACTAAGTTATTGAATTAAATTTGAAGGATTAAATCTTTAAATAAAAAAATACCATGATTGGACTTGGACAATGACTTAGAGGTAAGGAAAAAACGTGCTGAACAACCTAAATTCATCAAGTTTGGTAAAAGGATCTCTTTACAATTAACATAAAGTAAAAGGACTAAAGTGAAAATAATATAAAATATGAAAAAATCTTTGCAAAAATTTTTGTTAGTATTTTATTTAGGTAGATAGTTAAATTTTGAAAATTTCCCCACTTATTTTACTTTATTTGGATTTAAATTGAATTAGTTATGATTTTTCTAAATTTCTACTACATGAAAATAGTATTCTAGGAGTAGTATGGTTTGATTCAATGTTATTTTAATATATATGTATAGCATTATTATTTTTCTTTATTTTCATATGAAAATATACTTCTTAGTAGAACTTTTCTCATTGGTTTCACTTGATTTGGATTTGAAACAAAATAGATATGAAATTTTGAATATTATGATGTGTGCAAATGATTTTCTAAGAACAACTCACTTTAAATTCTGTTTGTCTTAAATATAATCATGATATTATTTTATTTATATATTTTACAAAATTATACTTCATAAAGAAACTATGCACACTAAGTTTACTCAAATAGAAGTTAAAATGAAATAGTTATGATTTTTTCAAAATGTTGTATGAAAGTAATATTTTGTGCATATTACTGAGAAACCCTATTTTCGTTTTGAAAGGATATAAGTGGAGTTATTTTATTAATATTTTGTGCATATTACTGATGAATTAAAGCATGAATTGATCTTTGTAAACAGTTTGATTTTGAAAGTATTTTTACTTAAAAAAGACACACTAAAGAGTATAACCTCACTGGTCTCATGTATTTTGGATGAGAATTGAATTTATCACGAATTTTACAATTTATTGGGTTTTGAAAATGGCATCATGTGAACAGTAGAAAGAAACTAAGTTAAATGTTATTTTCTGTGTATGAATTACTTATGTGTGTATTTGTTTTGCAAAGAAAATACTTAAAGAAAGAAAATCACATTGATTTTATTAATTTTTGAAGATATATGGTTTAGTTACAAATTTTTCATTATTCTAATGCTAGAAATGTTATTTTAGGAATAATAGAGGAAAACTAAGTTTCAAAGGGCTCTATGTAACTGAATAATTTATGCTTATATTTTTACATGTAAATAAAGAAAATTCGAGTGATTTCATGATTTTTGGATTTGTATTGAATTAGTTATGATTTTTACAAGTTGGTGCATGAAATCTGAAAAAAATCTCAAAATAGCCATGTCCATAAAATGAATTATTATCTTGTTTTGAGGGATGAATGATTATGATAGATACGTATCCAATAGATAAATTAATGGCTAGAATTTGTGTTGTGATTGTGAAATAATTCATAAAGATAGAGGTTGGAAACATCGAGTTTCATGTGCTTTTGCAATCATCTTTATTTAGTCTAGATTTATTCTCCCCAAACTAAGGGTTCCTTATTCTCTTTTAATATGTATGAACATATAGATCCCCATCCCTTAGTGTAAGCTGATGTCTATGGCCCTTCCTTGCCATTCTAGAAATTCTTTTCTTAGTTTCCCTCTCGATGTGTTTTTAGAGGCATTAATTGTCTAAATTCCTATGTGATAGTGTTTTCCCTCATTCTCTTGATGTTCCTCAGTTGCTACCACAATGGCTTTGCATTTAAAGGCGAGGGGTGAATAGTGTTGATTTTACTATATGGAATAGCAAAGTATCCAAGTCCTAACAAGAAACTAAGCCTAGCTAATTTGTGTTGCATGTAGTGGAAAATATGTTAAACTATCCTGACAAGCACTAGAGCATACCAATATTAGTTAGAGTGTGAACCGCTACGAGTGACTATAACAAATTTTGAGCACTGTTACTCAGTTCTCTGTTTGGGATGTTGTACATATGACACTATTTGAATTGTGAGCACAAAACTCTTAATTTTCAACAAAAAAATTAAATGGATAATTAATTACTCTATGAATAAAAGAATATTTCAGATAAGATACTCTAAGATGCTTGTTTATGAATTTATTAGTGATTATATTTATTCAGCAATTAGTATTGTCTTATGAAATAATTTATGAATGATTTACTCACCATTTCTTTGTTTGTGTCTATTAACTATGTTATGAATGCAGAATGTGTTGAGAATATCTCCATTCTTAAAAAAAACATGACTTTTAGTATGGGACTAGGAACATGGAGTCATAATACTAATCAAATTTTTATCTTTATAGGTT